TGGGGGGGGGGGGGGGGGGGGGGGGGGGGGAATCAGTGTTCAATCCAATTACGCCAAAATAGAGCTGCTTTAGGCATGTCCTAAGATTTCAAATCAGGAGAGTACCAAAGAAGGCAAACACGTCAACGATAGACTTACCTCCACGTGGTGCACCCTGGGCAACGTATACTCATAAGGCAAAAAAGTCTATTAACCGGCAGTTGACTTCTGACTCCAAACCACCATCACTCCAGTGTATGTCATATTCGACTACTTTCGCGGTACTCACCTCGCCCTTTTTCTACCTTTGTGTCTGTCTCTTTTACATCTTTAAAACACTCTTCTGTTCACCCCCCCCCCTCTCGACTTTTTTTCGATTTGATGTTCCTCCTCCCCTCTGTGAAGCCTGAAGTCAACTAAAGGGCTAATGATAACTATCAAAATGCCTGCCATTTGATATAAATAAATAAATAAAACGTCAACGACTACCCCTCAGAGCCAAGACAACTATTAATTACTCAGAATTAGATCTAAAATTAGGCTAATCTATTCTCCAACTATATACACTTTCCGCATTCATGACACGAAAAGAAAATTGGGCATCAGATTTCAATGCATAAGGAGTGTGACAACGAATGCCGATCTTTGAAAATGCCCAAAAGCCACCACAACAGCACAACAACAGTAATAACCCCCCCTTTCAGAAGCTACTTGAAACCTTCCAAAACAAGATGACGAAACGATGCCATTATAGCACAAGGAACAAGGGAACAGCAAACAATTTTGAATCGACCACGAATGTACGTAGAAATCAAACACTAACCACCAAAGTATAACGCGCGATTAATAAAGTTGAACTTACACAAAAAGCTTTAGAGACAGTTTGGTTGTACAATTTAAACAAAAATAAACGAATATTTTAAACTAATGAATAGTGACTCCTGTTTTCTGAATTATTTATTTATTTATATCAAATGGTAGGCTTCATGATTGTTATCATTAGCACTTTAGTTGACATGGGACTTCAAAGAGGGGGGGGGGACATTAAAGACAATAAAGTCGAGATGAGGGAGCAGAAAAGTGATTCCCAGATGTAACAGAGGCAGACAGACACAAAGGCAGAGAAAAGATGAGGTGAAATGAACACTGTGGAAGTGGTGGAATATGACATACAGTGGGGTCATGGCAGTTTGAAGTCAGAATCCCTAAATGTTGTATTCAGAACTTTTTTGCCGGATCATGGTAGTTTGAATGCCAAATACATATTTGTAACGTATGGGTATACGTTGCCCAAGGTGAACCAGGTGGAGGTAAATCTATCGCACACCCCCGTTTTCTAACTTATCGTTCTTACAATAAATAGGTGAACTGTCCTAACCCCTTTGATGAAAAAATTGGCAAGAAATGAACTGAAAAATCTTTCAAAAGAAATACCAGTTTTAAAAAAAAACTTCACACCGCAAGGAAGCCATCAACTTCAAAACAGCAGGAAACGACAGTAGTTCTTATATCTATTTCTGCACACACACGCAAAAAACTAGCCCAGGACAAGTTGAACAAAATCTACTGATCTCAGTTAGTCCAAAAAAAAATAATGATAAGAGGAAAGCGCCTGGAATTTTGTGAAACTCATGAAAAGAACATGGAGAGTTGCATAATGGACATCGCTTAAGGGGATTTTGAACCCACAAGCTATTCAGCAGATGGTGGTGGGGGGTATTAAAAGAGGACATTTAATAACTGCAATTATACGCCTCTTTCAAGTGATAATGACCTTCATAAACCTATACATACACCGAAAGAGCGTTCTTCGCACCACTTATTTGTCCTCTTAATAGCAGGAAGTTAACTACTAAAATTTATACCCAAATCATGGCAACAGTTGATCTTCCACAGAGCACCACCAATTCTATAAGCGAAGATGATCTGGAAGGCCAGCAAAGAATGTAATATCTTCTTCGGAGAGGGCTGATTTCTACTTCCTCTCCAGGCGCAACTTCAAAGAATTGGAAACAAAGATCTAAATAACGAGCGCTAGAAGTTTTCTGATTTGAGATTTTTTCACACAATGAACCAATGAAGGTAGTTCTGCATAATTGGTCTGGAAGAATCGAGGTATGTTAGTTCTTAGTCACACATTTCAACAAGTCCATATCTGCCAAAATGAAAATGTTACACGCGCAACAGGATGAATGAAATCGCACCAACTGACCTTAACTATAGTTGGCTTAATTTTGAGAAATGCCAA